CTCTTTCCCCAACAGCTGGAAAACAAAGGGCAATATATGTAGAATTGTGTGCAGAGCTGAAGAAAAACTTGTTTATTTTACATCATATTGACAGATATAATGAATGTTACTACCTTGTCATACACCTTGCCTTTTCTGAGCAAACTATATATTAAAACTAGTTAGTTCAGCTTTAATTATGAATATACTTTTTTTTCCTATGGTAGTGTTTTATCTATTAAAAGATGACTTCTCTCTGTCAAAATACAGGCATGCTTTTGATTGTCCCTGTTACCCCACCTGTCTCTTCAAGCACCACCCCAGCTCTTCTCCCTTTCATTGCAAAGCTCTACAGTCCCTGCTTAGACTTATTTCCTACTGAAATTACTTCTCAGCTTCCTCATTTCTGACCTATCAGATGCCTTTGTCCCATTTAATCCCGTGCCAGGAAATCTGGTGCTTCCCTTGGCTACAGTGATTATCTCCTTCTGTCATTTTGCTATGATTTCTCTAATCACTTTTCTAGTATGTCCTTCTGTCACATTCCTTCCATCTTAGGTTTCTGGGGAAACCTTTATTCCCCCACTATAATTTCTTCCCCTTCTCTGCGACACCATTCACACATGTTCAGCAATCACTGAGTGCTGACAGTTCAGAGATCTTACTCTTTTCTGCTTTTCCATCTAGACTGCAATGTTGACTTCTAGCTCTAATACCTTTTCTCAGCTTAGCTGACAGCTCTGCACAGCTAAAACTTAAATCTTTTCCCTAAAGTACTCCCTTCCAGTTCTTCATTTGATTGCTCAGGACAACACTATCATCCTGCCTCTTATTCAAACCTAAAAAGAGAAACAAACTGGAGAAGGTTTTTGTCAAGGAATCTCTTTTCTAGGTCTGTATATTTAGGTAATATCTTTATCTAGATTATTTTTTTTTTTTCTTTTCACACATCATCCCAAAGAGCCTTTCCAAACCATTCAAACAGCTAAATCTCCTACCCAGGCTCTCCTCAGTTAGCAGTTCTGCAACATCTTTTCACAGCCCTTGACAAATGCAAGCTACTGTGCTCATATCCAGCCAGTCTTCTGCTGTACAGAGCATTTTCCTAGTCTGCCACTATGACAAAACCTCTGTTACTCAGACTCCTTTGTGGCCTTTTCCCTACTGTACATATGTCCTTGGATTATGCTTTCATGACCTTGTTTTCCTCTCATTCATAGTCCATCATAGCAGCTTTCATTGACATGTTTTCAAAGAAACCTATTTGGGCTTTTCCCCAGGCTTTCCCATCCGATAGAAGCTCCCTGCAAGCATCCATAAAATGGTGTCTCCTTAAAATCTGCTTTTCATGACATATCTGCAGAATCTTGGCATTGGCAAAGGGTGCCAAAACTACTATGAATTCAGCTCCTCCTTAACTGAAATTGTGTTACAAGAATCATTCCAAATGTAGTTTGAAAGGATAGTATATACCCCTCTGCTCATTAATGATGCCTTGACCCTTTTGGAAAAAGGGGCTGCTAAAGGAGTAGTTTGGGGCTTTTAAAATCAGATTCAACATTAAAAATTACCTGCTGGAAAATTTCAGTAGATAATCCTCTCTGGTAATTTTAGTAAGAATATTTGAAATCAAATCTGTCTTCATTCTTTCTATTACACACAAAATTGTCAATGTCCAATACAGAAGTTAGTCTAACATATACTTTCTGTGGTTAATATCAAGGCTTATCAGGTACAAATTTACTTCCTAAAAATATTCTAATATAGTAATAGAAGTTGTTATTGGGCAAGTATTCTGGTCAGTAACTTCCCTAATACAAAATGTACAGAAAGCAGACACACTGAAATCAACAGAAATTATAAATTCTATTCTAAATTCTTCACGGATCTGATAAGCATCTGGTCCATATTTAAAGTCTCTCTGTTCTCCCAGCTGGATTTCCAATGGTTATTATTGTTTTCTGTATAAGAACTTTAGTTTTCTTGTTTGCATTTTTCCATCTCTTTTTTTGCCCCATGAAGAAAGACTAAACAGAAGTTCCAGAAATGCACATACAGGGCCAAATTATTAGGGTCTACTTATTAGAGTCCCATCTCTAAACAGCTAACCTAAAGACTTCTGACTGCTAGTGTTCATCCACTGACTTTGATGGTGTTGGGTTGGTTTTAAGTATCGAGTCATATATTTTATATCACGTATGATTTCAAGTTTGCA